AAGGGGCTGAATGTGAAATCCTGTGCCAAAATGCTTGCTATTAAGCACGATGGTGGTGGGTCTCTGCAAGTGTTGATAGATGGTGCAAGGGAAGTAACCTGGTTATCGCCCCCCACCACATATTAAAAGAAAGCTTAAAAATGGGACAAATACTATGGTCACAGCGGTTAAGAAATAGGAGTGCTGACTTTGCAAGTCAGAATCTCACATTGACCACGGATTGCCTATTGTATTCTGTAAATTAGTGAAACTGCTTGGCCTCTGGCAACATAAGAGCCCAGATACTAAAAATCTGAAATCACATTAATTTACTACTTGAAGTGTGTGGGGACATTTGTTTTGCAATTTAGGACTTTAAACAGGATTTAGGATTTTAACAAGATATTGCAGGGGTGCCTGGGCAGCTCAGTGCCCCATATCTAAGGTTACCTCCCTTGGCCCTTCCCCAACTTGCACATTCTCTTCTCTAAAACACGGAGGATGTTGCATGCATTTATTTGGATGACAAGATGGTCACTCCAAATGTTTGGGTCTGTTGGAGGTGAATTTTCGTGCTTTCAGAGTGAGGAAATTCTGTTAAGCACTTTCCTATAGTCACATTGACATCACTTCAATCTTTTAAATTCCTTCTACAGGAAAGGTTAGATAATCCATGGTTCATTATTGCTTTTGGTACCAGTGGCCACCCCAGTGTCTCCCAACAGGCTCTGAGAGGCCCTCTGAAGCAGGAACCATCACTTGGCTTCAGCTCTCCCCCTTTTCATTCTTACCACCGGTGGTGACCTTTCTTGGCATTACGTATTCTTAGTTTCCTTTAGGAGAATGTAAACTCCGTGAAAGGGATTTAAATCTTGTTTGTTGCAGTATTTCCAAGCTTGTCATTCAGGCAGTCAGTGTTAGATGGATTAGGTCAGTCTTTTAGAAATTTAGTGGGTGCCAAAAGATCCTCACAGTGAAATTGGCCTCTTCTATCATAGGCTATGACTTGGGTGACTACAAGTAGATGAGTTCATGGCTGGTTGAATTCTTCTGAAATGACTAACGCAATCTAAAAAGACATCTCTAGTGTATTAGAAGCCCAATCTCATTTAATAAGCCTGAGTGAGGGAAGAGAAAAATAGTAAGTTTTGAATGTTACTATACGTTAAAGGTGTTTTATTGCACATAAACGGCCTTAAAGGATCAAGTTATCAGAGGCCGTACAGTAAGTGGTAGTGCTAAGAACATATAGTAGCATATCTTAACTGACAACGAGTACACTGAGGATAATTATCTTGGACGACTGGAAGGGAGGGCCAAAACCACTACAGGCAGGAATATTAAAAGTCTTGTTGCCTTCTGGTCTGAAAAGTCTTAATACATAATATACTTAGGGTCAGGGGAGAGCTAGCTTGAAAGATTGGGAAAGACGTGGAGGTTAATGGAACACAAGACACCGTGATCTCCAAAAGTGGGGCTGGGCTGATTTAAAAAGATGGGCACCTACCTGGGTGTCTCAGTTGAGCTTCTGACTTGATTTTTGCTCAGGTCGTGGTATCCAGCTTTGTGTGGCTCTGTACTGAGTGGATCCTGATTCTCCCTCTGCCCCTCTAAACAAAATTGTCACAGCAAAAACCCTAATGTGACCTTAGCCTCTGGCACTGAGTGGGAGTTAGTACTACTCAAATTACGAGGTGCCCTCCAATGGTTGGAACCCATAATCCTATAACCCGTCACAGTGCTTCTACACTGAGGCAGGTGAGGGATGGGTTGTGTAGAGTACTGTACTGTTCCTGGTAACTCGAGTTTGAATAACATACCTACATTTATGCTTATATTTGATTTGGTTCCCTGAAAGTTACACCCATTACTAAGAGCCCATGTAAGTTACTGAGTGTAATGGAAATAACCCATTAGTTGACTCCACCCTACCCGAAAGCAGTTCCAGTTTAGTACATGATGTTTTGCTGACTGCATATCCTGCCAAGCACATGAAGAATGGATCCCCATGCAGTTATGCTCTCAAGCTAGAAAGTTGGGTTCCAGGATTCCAAACTAGTGCTTATTTATCCTTCAGATGTTGCAGCTTTTAGGTAGATACACTTTTTTCATCTTTCAAAAAGCTGTACGGTAATTTTTTTTTAATTTTTTTTTTAACGTTTATTTTTGAGACCGAGACAGAGCATGAACAGGGGAGGGTCAGAGAGAGGGAGACACAGAATCTGAAACAGGCTCCAGGCTCTGAGCTGTCAGCACAGAGCCCGACGCGGGGCTCGAACTCACGGACCGTGAGATCATGACCTGAGCCAAAGTCGGCCGCCTAACCGACTGAGCCACCCAGGCGCCCCTTTATGTATTTTAAAGGTATCCTCATGCTCCTGAGCTTGGTTGGAAGTGATAAACTGTGCTTCCTTCTTCTCTCTTATTCCTGGTGTAAAGCTATGGAAAGCGTTAGTGTACCGTGCTGCACAGGTGAAAAAGCTGAGACTGGACTTGTGTTCTAGTGACCTAATCATCCCAAGCCATTGTCTGAAAGGTTAATGCTAGCAGAAACAGACCCATAAATACAGAGAACAAACTAATGGTTGTCAGAGTGGAGAGGGAGTGGGGGATACAGACTTCCAGTTATGGAATGAATAAATAAGTCAGGGATGGAAGGGACAGCATAAGGAGTCTAGTCTATGGTGTTGTAATAGCGCTGTGTGGTGATAGATGGTAGCCACGCCTGTGGGGAGCCCACTACGACATACAAAGAAGTTGAATAACTATGTTGTGTAACACTGTCAATTATACTTCATTAAATTTTTAATAAAAAAAATTAATGAAAATGAATTAACATGTAAAAAAAAATTAAAAGGTCAACGCTTGCTAAGAGTTAAGCTACCATAAGCTGCCAGCATGCCCTCCCCTGCCTGTATTAGTCGATCATTTAATTTACTCAAGAGAGGTTTTTTGAACATCTATTATATGCCAAGTAGTGCTGGGAATAGGCATTAGAAAGAACAATACAGACAAAAAAATCCCTGCCCTCGTGGAGCTCATATCCTACTGGGGCAAACAAACTAAAATACACAAAATACAGTATATCAGGGAATGTGGTTAATAATCTAGTACTACAGAGGAAAAATAAAGCAGGGAAAGGAGGGCAGAGCATGCTGGTGGGCAGCAGGAGCTCATTCAAATATGGTGGTTAGGGAAATCTTCACCAAAAAAGGAAGTATTTAGCAAAGGCTTGAGGTATTAGGAACTAAACAGTGCACTTCTCTGGAGAAAAGCTGCTAGGTGACAGCTGGGGCAAAGTCCTGGACGTGGGCTCATGACTGGGGAACACCAGGAAAAGCAAGGACACCGGTGTGGGTGGTAGAGAGGGAGCTCAGGAGGAGATGGTCAGTAGATAGCAGGTGGCAAGTCATGGAGGGCTTTGGGGGCCACTGTAAGGACTCTGGCTTTTCTCTAAGATGGGAAACAACTGGAGGGTTTTGAGCAGAGGAGTGATGGGACCCTTACTGAGACTGCTGAAGGATAAGGACGCAAGGGTAGGAAGCTTTTGCTGGATCCTTTTTAAAGGATCAGATGCTGGATATATTTTGAAGATAGAGCTGACCTTTGAGACAAAAGTTTCTCCCGATTCGCTTTTTTAAAAGAAGTTTATTTTTAGTAATCTCTACACCCAACATGGGGTTGAACTCATGACCCTGAAATTAAGAGTCGCATGCTCTTCTCATGTACCAGTCAGCCACCCCACCAGATTCACTTTCTTGATCTGACCATAAAACTGAGGACTAGTATGTGTTTTTGTTTTTAATTTTTTTAATGTTTATTTAAAAAAAGTTATTTCTTTTTTAGTCTTTATTTTCGAGAGAGAGAGCACGAGTTGGGGAGGAGCAGAGAGGGAGACACAGAATCTGAAGCAGGCTCTAGGCTCCAAGCTGTCAGCACAGAGCCAGATGTGGGGCTCTAACTCATGAACCGTGAGATGGTGAGCCGAGCCAAAGTCAGATGCTTAACCAACTGAGCCACCCAGGTGCCCCTAACACTTATTTTTGAGAGACAGGAGAAAGAGCACGAGCTGGGGAGGGGCAGAGAGAGGGAGACACAGAATCCGAAGCAGGCTCCAGGCTCTGAGCTGTCACCACAGAGCCCGACATGGGGCTTGAACCCACAAACTGAGATCATGACCTGAGGTGAGGTTGGTGCTTAACCGACCGAGCCAGCCAGGCACCCTGGACTAGTAGTATATGTTTACAAGATGACTTTGGAATGTCTGGGAAAAGGAATGTTACATATAATAAAACCACCTTTATGTGGCACTCACTATAGTCAGGGATATACGTCAAGGACTCAACTGGGTACCTTCATACACAACACTTGAGGAAAGGATCTGTGCCTCTGTGTAACTAAAACGGAATAAGTTGTTAAAAATTTATTTTACTATTTCCAGGCTCGTGTAATTTTTATGGTAACACAATGTGGCCCTATTCATTTTTAGAGTGTAGATATCAGTTGGCATGGTAGAAAAGACAGGCACCTGATGGCAAAAATAATGTTTCTGATAACGGAAAAAGGTCCCTAAAGAAATGTATTCTAAATGTAATGGAAGTTTTTCATATCTTGCTTTACTTTGGACTTGCTGCCTTTCTTCCAGGCATTAAATCCAAGACTCTGGTATGGTCAAACTCAGCCCTACTACATACAAAACAATTAAGGACAGGTCTTGCAATGAGGCTTCTGCCCTTGACTTTCTTATAATCTCAGGCAAACTGGAATTATAAACCATGGATTCTCGATTCCATCTTTAAATGACTGTGACAGGGGGGTGCCTGGGTGGCTCAGTTCGTTGAGCGTCCGACTTCAGCTCAGGTCACGATCTCACGGTCCGTGAGTTCGAGCCCCGCGTCGGGCTCTGGGCTGATGGCTCAGAGCCTGGAGCCTGCTTCCGATTCTGTGTCTCCTTCTCTCTCTGCCCCTCCCCCATTCATGCTCTGTCTCTCTCTGTCTCAAAAATAAATAAAAATGTTAAAAAAAAATTAAAAAAAAATAAATGACTGACAGGTCATGACTTAAATGTGTGTGTGTCCCCAGGTATTTGCTATCTTAGTAATTGTTTCCATATATACAAAAGTCTCTGAACTTTCACTGTTTCTACCAATACCTGTTCATCACTCTAGCTTTACCATCCTTCCTGACATCTAGTGAGAAGATGCCCTCACCTTGTCCTTCCTCAGGTACAGGCAGCAGTGTTTGGCTACTCCTGGATCTTTGTTTTTCCATAGAAATTTTACAATCTGCTCTTCAAGACCCATCTACTCCCCCAAAAGAGAAAGGTGTCCTGTTGGGATCTGAATTGGATTTTTTTTTTTTTTTTGTATATTTAAAAGATTATTCTTTAGAATGTTACAGTAAGATAGATGATAAACTGCATATATGTGAAGTGTGTAATTTGCTGAGTTTTGTGAAAGGATGAACAGGCCTGTGGCTACAGATTTACAGCACTCGTCCTCGGAAGAGGAAAAGAAAAAACGTGAAACGAAATGGCTAGTTCAAAGACCAAATTCCTATATTATGGATGTAAAATGTCCAGGTTGCTCCAAGATTATCACGGTTCTCAGCCATGCTCAGACTGTGGCTCTCTGTGGAGGCCCTTCAGCAGTGTCATGCCAGCCCACAGGAGGAAAGGCCAGACTCACAGAGGGGTGTTCATTTAGAAGAAAGCAACACTAATGATCCACACAACCTCTTGAATTTGTGTTAAGTCACAGAAAGCCTTATTAGTTCAGTAATTCCAGTTAATCTACCAAAATACTGGAATTATGTTTAATTTTGTAAGGTATACAACAGTGATCTATTTTGGTGTCTTTTTCAATAAAGTTTTGATTATGGGCAAAAAAATATTTAACAAATCTTAATTGCTACCATAGTGAAAGAGCTCTATAGAGCATTCTGAGGTTCTTAATAACTTTTGAAGATTGTAAGTGGTCCTGAGACCAAAAAAATTGAGGACTGCTGTTCTAGGTTAAGAAGCAGGGGCCTACAGAGGTTAAATGGCTGGGTAAGGCTGCATAACTAGAGAATGGTAAAGCGGGAATTAAACTCAGGTTTGTCTAACTCACACAGGCTCTTTCTTTTTTTTAATTTTTTTTTGATGTTTGTTTATTTTTGAGAGAGAGAGAGAGAGCACAGGCGGGGGAGGGGGAAAAGAAAAGGGGGTGTGGGGGGGAGACACAGAATCCGAAGCAGGCTCTAGGTTCCCAGCTGTCAACACAGAGCCTGATGTGGGGCTTGAACTCACAAACCGTGAGATAATGACCTGAGCCGAAGTTGGAGGCTTAACCAACTGAGCCACCCAGGTGCCCCTCATGCAGGCTCTTTCTAACTAAGTTCACTGTCTTAGGAGTGACTCAGACATGCACTATCGCATGACAACAATTATGTATGCAGTTATTATACAGCTGTGCCATCAGGTATTTTTACTGTGTACCTGGTTATTTCTTGTGTTACAAAGTAACTTGCTTTCCTCAAAATAAGAAAAAAGTATCCTTAAGGCAGTATTTTGAGGAATGGTTTATACTTAAAAAAACAGTAGCAAGAAATGTGATCAGCCGTTACAGACTTCTGGTTCTTTGGAGAAGGGAATACTGGACAAGACAGAGCAGCTGTATCGACACACTATTTTATTCAACCAAAGCCCAAGAGCATAAAGTAATACCATCAGACTCATCATCTGCCAAACCTCTCCCTGATGAGGAGAAATTGTTCATAAGACAAGGCTCTCTTGAAGCCAATAATAACCATTGATGTTGTAGCTGGCACTTGCGTATCTTGTTTTTAAAATTGGCACCACAGGATAAATCTAAATTCCCTACGAAGGTGGGGAGGTAGGATTTGAAATACAGCATCCAGTTTACAATCAGATTGTGCATTTTAAAATCCTACTTGTGTTGTTTTCAATCTTATCATTAAGTAGTTCCTTAGTTTTTTGAGAAAAGACTTAATTTAAAATTTTACCCCACCTCAATGATAAAGATCTAAAAGAGTGACATTTCCCTGGATTTCAGAATAAGCATTATGTTTTCTTCTTGAAAGGCAAGACTGAAGAAAAGCTGAGTGATGTCCAAAATGACTAGGTCTCAGATAACAATACAGGATTGTTTGACTTCTGAGGACAGGGGGCCCTTGGTATTTGCAGCCGAGAAAATACCCTCTGGATTTCAGGTGTCTTCTGTAACTCTCATTTCCAGGATAGAAAGACAACATTTTGGTCAGAATTAGGCTTTACACAGTCAATAGTGAGTTTGTTACATTTATCTCATGGGGGATAAATGGATGTGAACTGCACTTTCCCACCTCTTAAAAGGAATTTCTGGAACTTCACTGAGAAAGGGTAGGCAGACTTGGACACCCTTTCTCACCAAGACAGCCCTGCCAACAAGAATTTTCTCTCTCCAGAGCACACTCGCAGATGGGGAGATAGGGTTCAAGGACAAACTTTAGAGAAAAGCTCCACCTAACAGTGAATCACTTTCTGCAGCTGTGAAGAACATTCACACTCTTGATCTACTGGGCATCACAGATTAGGCCTGGAAGTGAAGATGATTTTATTTTCCAAACAGAAACAACCATCGGATTGCACTGTTTTTAGAGCACTAAGAAAAATAGGCAGGGATAGAAGACTGATACTTGATACTTAACTTTTTTTTTTTTAATGTTGTACTTATTTCTGAGAGAGAGAGAGAGAGAGAGAGACAGAATCCAAGTGAGGGAGGGGCAGAGAGAGAGGGAGACACAGAATCTGTAGCAGGCTCCAGGCTCTGAGCTGTCAGCATAGAGCTCGATGTGGGGCTTACAAACCGTGAGATCATGATCTGAGCTGGAGTCAGATGCTTAACCGACTGAGTCACCCAGGCACCCCAATACTTGGTACTTATAAATCAAAAGAATGTCAAGGCAAAAGTGAAGATAAAGTAGAAAAGAACATTTTCATTAATCAAGGCCTTGTTCTCATTTCATACTTATTAAATAATTAAAAGCTTTTATTTATGTCACAGAATGTATAAGAAAATTACAATAGCCTCTGTGTTTACTTTTCTATATATTCGAAGTTGGCCTAAGGTCAATATTTTCAATTACTTATGATTAAGGAGAAGTGTTATTCAGGGATTAAAAATAATTACTATTTTTAAAGATTTTTTTTTTTTAAGTAATCTCTACATCCAACATGGGGCTCAAACCTATAACCATGAGATCAAGAGTTGCATGCTCTTCTGACTGAGCCAGCTGGGTACCCCAATAATTATATTTAAAAATAGAAACATAAATAGAGTACTGATTAATAAAATTACTGGTTTTTTATGCTATAGATAATCAGTTTTATTTAATCTTAGACTATAAAATACATAGATGTATCTGTATCTGTTCACAGATAAATAGTCCCATTTTCTTACATTTGTGTAATGCTTCATAGTTTTTCAAAGCATTTTCACTCACAATACCTCCACGTACATCCTCTCCTCTGGTTCTGGCAAGAAGAGCCTTGTGAGGGAGCCAGGGCAAGTAGTGTTCCCATTTCATACAAGCAGGAAAGGAGGCTAAATGATGTTTCTGTAACTTGTTCAAGGTGAAACATTAAGATTCTGTGATTTCCATTTCAGTGATTTTTTTTTTTTTTTTGCATTGTATCCTGCTGCTTCTCACTATATTATGCTGAGAGTCAACATGTCACTATCTAGCTTAATTTACAGGATTCTCTTGATAAGGCTGGTTGAACTGACCCCTCCATCAAAAGGGACTAAAGGGGCAAGCATTTCCCCACGTTTCACATGGTCTGATTATCTTTGTCTTCAGTGGACAACTAACTATCCAGGTATGAAAAACATGATTAAGAAACACTAAGCTGTTCAATTCTCCAAGAAAGGGCCATCTTTACACCTCACCAAGTCAGAAACTACAAAAGAAGTCCCAAACAAAAAAATCCTAATAATGCATGTTATCAAGTAAAAATTGGATACCTTCTGTTTCTTTACTGTGGTAAAGAATGTTGTCTGGGTTCCTTCCACCTAAAGACCCACTTATCAGACCTGTGGCAGAACTCCACATCTGATTTCAGCCTTGGGGAAGCAAAGAGGACAAAGCTGAAAAGCTCAGCTTTCTGGATGATATGGCTGATTCAATGAGCTCTTTTCTGCTTCTGAGTCTGCTGGCCAGGAGACCTGGATATGATAGGGCTTCAGTTCCTCAGGAGGGAGAGAATCTGGGGCATTGCTCATGAGGTCATACCCCCGGAAGGATTTGGGGAAGGCTATGACATCTCTGATGCTTGGTGCTCCAGTGACAAGGCATATCAGTCTGTCCAAACCTGGAAGTAAAATATCAAAGTTAACAGATGAGAATGTAACCTAAGGTTAAGTGACTAAGTTTTTCTTTTAAAAAAAAAATTTTTTTTTTTTTAACGTTTATTTATTTTTGAGACAGAGAGAGACAAAGCATGAACGGGGGAGGGTCAGAGAGAGGGAGACACAGAATCTGAAACAGGCTCCAGGCTCTGAGCTGTCAGCCCAGAGCCCGACGCGGGGCTCAAACTCATGGACCGCGAGATCATGACCTGGGCCGAAGTTGGCCGCTTAACCGACTGAGCCACCCAGGCACCCCAATCACTAAGTTTTTCTACAAAGGTTGTAGAGAACTATTTTTTAGAATTTTTTAAATGTTTATTTATTTTTGAGAGATAGAGCATGAGAAGGGGAGGGGCAGAGAAGGAGAGGGAGACTCAGAATCCAAAGTAGGCTCTGGGCTCTGAGCTGCCAGCACAGAGCCCAATGCGGGGCTTGAACTCATGAACCATGAGCTTATGACCTGAGCCGAAGTCAGAGGCTTAACTGACTGAGCCACCCAGGTGTCCCTGTTATAGAGAACTTTTAAATAAGAATTAAAAAAAAATTATTTACTTTAATTTAATTTTATTTTATTTTGGAGAGAGCACAGTTTTATTTTATTTTGGAGGGAAGTTGGGGGGAGCAGAGGATCTGATGTGGGCTCTGCACTGACAGGCTGAAGGCAGAGAGCCTGATGTGGGGCTTGAACTCATGAACCGTGAGATCATGACCTGAGCTGAAGTTGGGACATTCAACCGACTGAGCCACCCAAGTGCCCCTAAATAAGAATCTTTAACAAGTTGTGGCCAAGCATAGTTCCCTGCCTTTTTAGGGAACTTTTGTTTGAGAGGTTCTTTTCTCATTCTAGAAAAGTGCTCAGGATGAATATTGACATGCTCAAATTAAGTCACAGCAATTAGTCCTTAGCAACGGTTTTCTAAAGGTTGACAAAAATCAGATGCTGTGCAGGGCACTGCAAGAACACAGATGGAAGTCCTTGCTGTCGAGGGCCTACAATCTAGGTGAGCTTCTGAGAATTTCTCACACTCTTTCTTGCTTGATAAAACAAAGTAACCATGGCAGAGAGCACTGGCATATTCCTACTTTCACACAAGCTGAATAGAATGAGCAGTGCTTTCCAGATTCCTATGAATGTGCCTGTGAGACCCCAGGCATTTGAGAAATATTGACTTAAGACTGAAGTTCTATTCGATTAAAAAAAATCTTTCAAATGCAAATTATCAGTCAAGTTTTATCTTTAACTGGTAAAATACACTTTAAGTATATATGAATGAAATGAAAATACAGATTTAAATTCTTATAATATTCTTGGGCTTGCACCCTATCCTTTTTACCCCCTCTCCTCCTCCGCCCCTGCCTGTAAACTAAGCCCAAATTTGAGACATAGGATTATGGAATGAAATTTAGCTTGTAAAAGGATAGATTGTTTACCTAAGGCAATTCCTCCATGAGGGGGCGCCCCAAAATCTAAAGCCTGGAGTAGGTGGGAGAGCAATTTCACATCTTCCTGAAATTCAAAACATAATTCAATGTGAACACACACTGAGGGTCCATCGAATGCCGCACAGTAAGCTTAGGTGCTAAAGGGAAAATAAAGCTAAGTTAAAAAAATACCTTAAGAGGTTGACAGTTTAGCAAGAGACTATGACAAGTCACAGATATTAAAACATGTAGAGACATGCCTGGCACTCAGTGCCAGGGCCCGCAGTCACAGATTATACTGATAACGTAAACAGAATAACACCAATTCAGGACATGGAGATGTGAGCCCAGAAAGGTAGGGTGAGAGCAAGAAACTGTCCTATCACAGGGCCAGGGGAGGAGAACATTAGTAAGAGGGGAATGGTGTCAAACACACCTGGGAGGTAGGACAGCTTGGTGGCCAAGAACAGGCCACTGGGTTTGGTGGCTCTGCAAGTTAACTCATGTGGGTCAATGTGTGTAGATATGTTGAAAGTGTATCTGACAATGGTTCTCTCACCAGGCTACACATCAGAAACAGGTGGGGACCTTTTAAGGAACAGATGCCAAAGTCTCACACTTAGAGCTTTTTATTTAATTGGTCTGGTGTGGACTGGTGGGCTGGTTTTTTATTCTTGACACTTTGCCGTTGATTCCGTTCTCATGTGCAGCAGGGCTGAGAACCACTGGTGGGAGGGAAGAAGCAGAAGCGGTGAATTCTCCATGGACTCATTTAAGAAGCTTAACAATGAAAGGAAGAAAATCAGCTGGGAAACTGATGGCTGGATGCCTTGAGTTGGGAGGAGAAAAGTTAAGGGACCTCACCATGACCTTAAAGCTAATGGGGAGCTCTCCCAGAGAGAGAGGGAGACACAGAATCCGAAGCAGGCTCCAGGCTCTGAGCTGTCAGCACAGAGCCCAACACAGGCCTTGAACCCATGAACTGTGAGATCATGACCTGAGCCAAAGTCAGATACTCAACTGAGTGAGCCACCCAGGCTATCCTAAAAACATTTTTTTTCCCAAAGTTTATTTATTTATTTTGGGGGGAGTGAGAGAGAGAGAGAGAGAGAGAGAGAGAGAGAGAGAGAGAGAGAGGGCAAGTGAGCAGAGGAGGGACAGAGAAAGGGAGGGTGAGAGAATCCAAAGCAGGCTTTGCACTGATGCTGTGGAGCCTGATATAAGGCTTGAACTCACAAACTGTGAGATCATGACCTGAGCTGAAATCAAGAGTCTGTTGCTTGACTAACTGAGCCACCCAGATACCCCCTAAAAACATTTTTTTAATGTTTATTTTTTTTATTGTGAGAGAGAGGGAGCACACGCGCATATGTGTGCATGTGGAGGAGGGGTAGAGAGAGAAGGAGGGAGAGAATCCCAGAATCCCAAGTGGGCTCTGTGCTATGGGGCTTGAACTCATGAAACCGTGAGATCATGACCTGAGCCAAGATCAAGAGTCAGACACTTAACCAATAGAGCCACCCAGTCACTCATCTTTAAAATGGGCAGAATAAGGGTATATCTCAAAAAGTAATTGTGAGGATTAAATGTATCAATGCAGATAAAGTACCTACTGCCTCGCACATATAGTAAGCACTAATAAACAGCTTTTATTATCATTTACTTTTCAAAGTCTTCAGTAAAAGTAGAGAGACAAGCCAACACTATTCTGTAACTACTGAATCCTTCATTCATAAAATTAAAAAAAACAACACAAACATTCTTGAAGGCAGCTATACTCACCACTATACCACCAACACCAGCTAAAACAGCAAATATTTTAGTTAAACCAAAAAAAAAAGCAGGTTAAGAGATGATGTCACCTTTAGCAGTGTTGCCAGAATGTAACGCTGGAGCTCTGCATCATGTATTCGGATAGAACCACCTCCTATCTCATTGCCATTTAAAACCAAGTCATAGTGTTGGCTACGGACCTAGAAGATTCACAGAGTCTTTATGTTAGAGAAAATTTCTAATTTTCTGTTCTACACGTTGAAGATGCTACAGCAATTTAGAGACAATGTATTAACTGTGGGCTTGAACCCGACAATTTTTTCCGAGGTTTCCAGAACCGGGTCAGACTGTGAAATCTGAACTTCTTTGCCCTTGTTTCCACATTTCCTTTTAAACTGGAAGTACCGATACGGTACCTGTTTGGGTTCAGTGTGTAAGAGGTGGATGTCGCTGGGGTGGGGAGCAGTAAATGGGTGGTGGGCTGACTCCAGCTCGCCAGGATTTTCCTCCTTGGGGAGGAAGAGTGGGAAATCCACAACCCAAAGGAAAGAGAACAGAGCTGGGTCACGGAGCACCAATCCTCTTGCTTCTAGAAGGTCAGCACATTCCAGTCGTAGTTTTCCCAAAACAGAGCACTGGGAACAGAAAACACAACCACTGAGTTAACTGCAGTGACAGAGTAGACAGCAGATGACACAACCTGGACTCTGTAGTCAGGCTATCCTCTGGGAAGGGATCAGGAAATGAACAGATGACACTCTGGGGCACCTGGGTCCAACTTCGGCTCAAGTCATGATCTCATGGTCTATGAGTTGGAGCCCCGCATCAGGCCCTGTGCTGACAGCTCGGAGCCTGGAGCCTGCTAAGGATTCTGTGTCTCCTTCTCTCTCTGTCCCTCCCCCGCCCTCAAAAATAAATAAACATTAAAAACAAAATAAAAAAAAAATAGATGACACACTCTGAGCCTCTCAGGAGACACAGCTCTGAGGATGATCTGACCGCAATGTGGTTGAGAATGTCAGACTCAGCCGACTGAGTAGGATTTGATGACAAAGTGATTGAGAGCACAGGTACCCGAGCTTGACTGACTTGGGTGTGTCTCAGTTTGCCTACTAACTTCCCTACAGCTTTTTCTATAGTAAAATGGAGATAAATGTACCTACTCCGAAAGCCGTCGTGAAGACTGAGACAAGGCATGGAAGGTGCAATACGACTGGCAGCTATTGTGTTGTCTTCCTTACCGCTCCTGAAGGGTCGTGTGAGGCTCTGATGAGCGCCTGGCACACAGCTGATGGCCAATACATGTTGGCTATTATTAGAGGGGCAGTACAGATTAGAGGTTAGTTTAAGAGTGTGACTTTTGGAACCGGACTTTGTGGGTTAGAGCTCTGGGTCCTCCACTTCCTAGTTGCGTGTGAGCAGATTTTTAACTTCTGTGCCTCAGGTCTCCTATCTTGGAATGGTAGCCATATCAGTCCTTCTCTCAGTAGGGCTGGCATGAGGATTAAATGAGTTAATATGCACAAAGTACTGAGAACAGTGCTGAGAAAATGGGAAGTGCTTCCTGAGTGCTAACTCTGATAAGCAGAACTTCCCTGAAAAAGGCCTGTCAGGACAAACCGTGCCTGGAGACATGCACAGGCGACACTTTATAGCCTCTTCATCTTACGTTTAAATATCCACACAGGGTACTTGCACTGTGACATATTCAGAATGCTAATGCTATTCCACCTAAGTCTGGTTTCTAGTTCTTTCAAGAAATCTAGTTCATTCAAGGAATTAGAATGATACCTTCCTGAGAGAAGAATGCCAGTAGTTTCACTCCATACTAGGAGAGAGTAGAATGGTCAAATGAGTCTGCAGCAGGATTTCTGTATAATACAAAATCCCACAATCTGTAATAAAGTGGACATTCCCTAGCAAGTTTAACAGTGATGTTCATGTCTAGTATTCTAAAATAATGTTGAGGGGGCGCCTGGGGGGTTCAGTCAGTCGAGGGTCCGACTCTTGAACTCTGGTCACATAGGGTTGTGGGATCGAGTCCTGCATTGGGCTCTGCACTGAGTGTGGAGCCTGCTTAAGATTCTTCCTCTTTCTCTTTCTCTTTCTTCCTCTCTCTTTCTCTCTCCCTCCCTGCCCCTTTTCCCTCTGCCCCAACTCACACTTGGTCTAAAATAAGAAACAAAAACCAAAAAAACCCCAAACAAAAATAATGTTGATTAATTAATTCATTGAAAAATGATGGCGGCATCAAAACAGATTTGTAATTAAATACCTTTCTTCACTCCACTATTGCAAGGGAGGGGAAGGAGAGTGGGTTACATTTATTTATTAAAAAAAATTTTTTTTAGATCTTATTTAATTCTTATTTACTCATTCATTCAGAGTAATCTCTACCCTCAACGTGGGGCTCGAACTCATGACCCTGAGATCAAGAGTCAGATGTTCTTCAGATGGAGCGAGCTAGGCACCCTGACAGTGGGGTACATTTAGCACTGAAACTGAACTCTGAAACTTCTCCTTTGGAAGGAAACAAGGGTATGTATGGTGCAAATACAAATTAGAAGAATGAACTTGATAAAGTACTAATCAGACACCAATGCTATAAAGGAATCATACTTTAGTGCAAGAATGAATTTATATTACACTTGACCTTTCCAGTATATTTTCAACATTCATGCTTGACTTCTATTCCATACTTGTGTATGTTTTTACATAGTCTCTATGGCCAAATCCAGTCTTACACAGATCTCCTTAAGCACAGAGATTTAGCCAGAGTGTGGTGGCACACAATACCCCCGGCTGCTGCTCCTGAGGAAGAGGGTCCTGCCCTGACCAAGCAGGGCCAGAGATGTCTGCCAGCCCAGTAGCCTTCCAGCATCTCATCTGTCCCTCCACAGGTTCAAAAGTTTGGGATTCCCAAATCTTCCTAATCTGCAACATCTCGAAAATGAAAATATTTTCCACAGTGAAGATCGATGGCCCTTTACCTAAGTGGCCTTCCTAATCTAACCTGTGTGAACAATGCTAATGGAGGCTGGTAGCTGGTGAAACACACTCTAGTTTTGATACAGTATGGTAAGTGCCGAAAACATTTATTAATATAAAAACTCATGCAGAGCAGCTCCACTTATTGAAATGAACACTTTTAAGTATGTATTATACATGCAGGAGAAAAGAGGCATCGTTCAGCATCAACAGCACAGACATTTAGAGGTAGTGCTCCTTACTGCTTTCCTGTGCTCTCCGGCCGTGAGCAGGACCACACCGTCCTCTTGGATCTCCATCAGTCTGATTAGTTCTGATCTTTGCTCCTCCATTATGGACTTAGCAACTGGAGAATTCCAGTTTCTATTGGCTTTTGGGAATACAGGTAAGACTTCCTGTGATAAAGAAAAAGACTTACATTTTTTTTTTTAAAGTGGGGTTGATTTACTTTTCCTGTAGTATATAAAGATTTCTTGTTCCCCACAGAACTGAAGATGGTCTTCATTCCCTCCCTCAACCCCTTCGAAATGATACTAAATGAATTACAAAAGGAATCTCAACATAATGAAAAAATGAAAGGGGATATAAGGTGGGGAAATACTGCAGATTTGTGGCAGGCTGCAAGGGAACAGAATAGGAAGGATCAAAGCAGCAAGACACAGGAAGCTCTGGCCTGGAGAAAAATGGAGCGGCCTCAGCACAAGAAGGAACTGATTTTAGCAGAAGCCTAGAGAGGCTCAGGACTCTTAGGAAGCTTTGGTTTCCCAGGGTAATGGGCAACGACTCTGCTGCTCCCACTAAACTGATCCTACCCATTCACAAAGCTCTTCCGAGGACCCCGTGCTCCCAAACAGCTTTAAAAAAAATCTTTTTAAGTAACCTCTATACCCAATGTGAGGCTTGAACTCATGACCTCCGAGATCACGCTTGTGAGTTCAAGCCCTGCATCGGGCTCTGTGCTGATGGTGTGAAGCCTGCTTGGGATTCTCTCTCTCCCTCTCTACCCATGCACACTCTCTTTTTCTTTCTTTCTTTCTTTCTCTCTTTCTTTCTTTCTTTCTTTCTTTCTTTCTTTCTTTCTCTCTTTCTCTCTCTCTCTCTGCCCTTTCTTTTTCTTTCTTTCTTTCTCTCTCCCTCTCTCTGCCCATGCACACTCTCTTTCTTTCTTTCACTTTCACATGCACACTCTCCTTTCTTTCTTTCTTTCTTTCTTTCTTTCTTTCTTTCTTTCTTTCTCTTTCTCTCTCCCTCTCTCTCTGCCCATGCACACTCTCTTTCTTTCTTTCTCTTTCTTTCTCTCTCTCTCTCTCTCTCTCCCTCTCTCTCTGCCCATGCACACTCTTTCCCTTTCTTTCTTTTTCTTTCTTTCTTTCTCTCTCTCTCTCTCTCTGTCTCTCAAAATAAATAAATAAACTTTAAAAAAAAAAAAAAAAAAAGGACCTGAAAGGAAAGAGATAATTTAGGGACCAAAGGAGTAAGGCCTGAATCCTCAAAGGCAGTGAAAAATATACTTTACCAATAAAAGCAGAATAAAGTATGATGGAAAAAACCAAGAAACAGCCACTGGGACATAAAAATGATTGGTTACAAAGAATTCAACAGAAGAGTTGAAGAGATCTCTCAAATGAAAAGGACAAAGAGAATGAAGGGAAAGGACACAGAAAAAAAAAGAGATGTACAATTTACAAAAGGAGGTCCGAATAGAAATCAAAGAAATTCCAAAAAGACTACAGAGAATGATGAAGTCAAAACAATTAGTACTAGAAGAATTTTCCACAGATGACAGACATGAGCCATCACATTGGCTTTTAGAGTACAACACACTGAATGCAAAATGACCCAAAGGTACACAAACTGAAATTTCAGAACATGAACAATCAGGAGGCTGAATGCTTCCAAAGGAAAACTATCAGGTTTGCTACAAAGGAATAAATTCATATAAGCATCAGGCTTCTCATCAGTAACAACAGGTACAAGAGAAAAAAACAATGCCTTCAACAAGCTAAGGCTTGCTGGGTAATACAGTAGCCAGCACTCACAGGTACCTATTGAGATTAATTGAAATGAAATGAAATGAATTCAGCTCCTCAGGTATACCAGTCACATTTCAAGCACTGGATACCTATGCTGGCTAATGGCTACCATATTGGATGATGCAGATACAAAACATTTCCACCATCACAGAAAGTTCTGTTGGACAGCACTACTCTAAAGGGATATGACTGCGAATTCAGGATTTTATCCCAAAGTCAAATCAGCAATCAAATGTGAGGTTTTGAACATAAAGACATTCTTGGACCAGCAAGTTTATCTCTTGCCGGCCTTCCTGGAAGTTACTTGAGAATCTACCTCAGCACAAATAAGAAAGAGGAAGATCTGGGATCCAGGGAAAGTGGCTTCAACTCAGAAGCAGGATGAAGAAAAGGTCAGAAAGACAGCTGTGCAGAAGGTACAGAGTAGTTAGGTGTGGCTTGTGTATGGGAGCTGTGTCTCTCATGCAGGAAGTTAACAGATAAAGTTCAAAATGGAGAAGTAAAAAAAAAAGGCAGTATGTAGATACATATCTAAAAATGGAAGCACTCTGGTTGGAGTGGGTCTGAAGTGGCATGAGCTAGAGCAAACACTTATTGCATCTCATTGTTAATCCTTCTTTACCATTTGTGTTTTTACCTATGTGCATGTAGCATATTGCTAATTCATACACATATTACAAATGTAAGCCAAGTTAGAATATATTAATAATATGAAAAAAACAGGGGACCTGGGTGGCTCAGTCAGTTGAGCATCCAACTTTGGCTCAGGTCATGATTTCATGGTTCATGAGTTCGAGCCCCACATCGGGCTTGCTGCTGTCATCACGGAGCCCGCTCCAGATTCTCTGTCCCCTATCCTCTCTCTGCCCCTCCCCTGATCACACGCATGTTCTCTCTCTCAAAAATAAATAAACACTTAAAAACAAATAAATAAGTAAATAAATACATTGAAAAAACAGAAGCAGTGCCCATTTCTTCTATAAAAATCCAGGAAGTTAGAAAAGTAAAAAAGAAAAGAGGAAAAGAGAAGAAGAGGAAAAGCAGAAAATTTAATAAGAGTTCTATCAACTAAAGGCTACTGATCCTGTGGTTTCTAGATACAGATTTCAAACACTGGAAAGATAAAAGTGAAGAAACAAAATTGGGAGATCTAGAATTGCCAATTTTGAATTTTTTCAAGGGCATAAAACAAACCTAAAACATTATCTACTAGTACCTCATTTCATAAAAGAAAAAAAAACTTCTACGTCAAAGAACAACGAGATGTAATGGATCATTCTTTAAACTCATTTAACTTTATGAAAAGCTTTTTATATTATTCTGACTTTTGTCATTTTGCCTTGACCTATTTTGGAAATCATTATCCTAATCTTTTTCTTTCTTATTGAAAAATCCCTTTAAGCCTGAGGTATGATATGGCGGTGGGAGGGGTGGGGAGTCCATTTTCAATACTCAAATACTGTGAGTTTTTGTTTTGTGTGTTAGGTAGGCTTCCGGCACAGTGCAGAGACAAATGTGGGGCTTGAACTCATGACCCTGAGATCAAGACCTGAGCTGAGATTGAGAGTCAGCTGCTCAATTGACTGAGCCATCCAGGTGCCCCACAAATACTGTGTTTTTACATGGTTATGAGCAGTGTTTATATAATTCTGTATTTTCCTTTTCATACAAATCATTACAACATGAACATAACCTCCATACTACAAACTCTTTGGAGACAAAGTTTTAAAAAACAACTCTAGGGGCACTTGGGTGACTCAGTTGGTTAAGAATTCAATTTTTGGGGGGCGCCTGGGTGGCGCAGTCGGTTAAGCGTCCAACTTCAGCCAGGTCACGATCTCGTGGTCCGTGAGTTCGAGCCCCGCATCAGGCTCTGGGCTGATGGCTCAGAACCTGGAGCCTGTTTCCGATTCTGTGTCTCCCTCTCTCTCTGCTCCTCCCCCGTTCATGCTCTGTCTCTCTCTGTCCCAAAAATAAATAAACGTTGAAAAAAAAAATTAAAAAAAAAAAAAAGAATTCAATTCTTGGTTTTGGCTCAGGTCATGATCTCACGGTTCTTGAGTTTGAACCCCACATTGGGCTCTGCGCGGACAGCTCGGAGCCTGCTTGGGACTCTCTCCCCTCTCTCTCTGCCCTACCCCACTCGTGATTTCTCTCTCTCAAAATAAATGAACTTAAAAATAAAAAGCAATTTTAATTCCTTTGCGTTTACTTTATTTAATCATTCCCATATAATTTCATTTTATTCCTATTATAAATGATACTATGATGAACATAGTCTTCTCGTATTTAGAATGTTTTCTGTAAAGCATATCACAGAAAACCAATGACCCAAAGAGCATGATTTTTTTTAAAGTTACTGATTCTGAAAGGGCTGAGGCCATCAACAGGTCCAGTGACAAGATAAGAAGGCCCATCCCCCACTCCCGGTCCTCCATAGTTCAGTCCTACCATTCACCAAGCCAAGAACACACACGTGTCTGTCAAAGGTGTATTCTGGATTTTAAAACGGGTATGGGAAGAGCAATGAATGCAGGCTTTCTTTCAAACCTTGGGCATACGGGGCTCTAATCTACTCCTAACTGAATTAAAATTCCATATTTATTAAATTTTTTTTAATGTTTATTTATTTTTGAGAGAGAGAGAGAGACAGAGCATGAGTGGGGGAGTGACAGAGACAGAGGGAGACACAGAATCTGCAGCAGGCTCCAGGCTCTGAGCTGTCAGCACAGAGCCCGATGTGGGGCTCGAACCCACGAGCCGTGAGATCATGACCTGAGCCAAAGTCAGATGCCCAACCGACGGAGCCACCCAGGTGCCCTAAATTCCACATTTATTTTAAAAACTATGGTTGAACTTTCACATTTTGATTAATGGTGAATTGGGATTAGATTAACTTTAGTAATAAAAAGACAATAATAAAAAGACAAAAAATGTTCTGAAGTAACAAGACCTCAAAACTAATGACTGTATAAGAGCTCTAACAATTATTAAAAATATTGGATCCCTAAAAGAGAAAAAAACTGTTGCAATTAAATCCTTACCTGATTAAAATGGTCAGCTGCCAATTTTCTAAGAGATTCAATGTCCTTCCTTTTTAAGTATTTCTGATGAAAGAAAATCAAAGTAAGCTTACAATATGACGGCTTCATAAACATGTCTATGATATCAAATGGGATACAAATATATTTTGTGTCCTTCCATCGCAATAGTAGGATTCAACAGAAGTTTAGTTTCTGCTTCCAAGGGACAAAATTTTAAAGCTTGTAACAGGGCCTATTAATATTCCCCCCCGCCCCCCCTAATTATGCAGGCCTCACTGGAAATGGCTGTGAATGTATTCCACAGAAGATCCTGTGTGTGTGATATGGAGGGTAAATGTTCAAAACGAATCTTTACAACTGAATTGTGTAAGAAAAAATAACTTTCAGATCAAAAAGAGGACTCAGAATTTGCTTATTTCAGGTCTTAAAATGCCTTTTATATCTTACTTTTTCTAAATCATCTAAATCATCAAGCTTTCTAAGTGAGACGCTCTGACCATCATCATAACTAATATTCTTGGGGCACTAGACTAGGTATGGGAGACACAAAAAGGTGGAGACATGGTTCACAACCCCACACTTCTTATAATATGCATGGGGAAGACCGGGCATACACAAATCGAGGCAAACAATAACAATACACAATATATATTACACTGAGCTTACCTGGACACATTCATTATGTCTAGAGTATGGACACAAATTACTTTCCACTAAACGTGAGGTGAATAAAAAGTAATGAGACTGAATTCTCATTCCCATTTTGAATACACTAATATGCTCCAGTATACAAATGAGTAGTCTTTCAAACTAGTAATTTTCTTCAAAGTACTTCTGGAACCCCTCTTATTAAATTACGTTCAGCACAGG